AAAAAAAAAAAAAAAAAAATTTTTTTTTTTTTTTTTTTTTTTTTTTTTTTTTTTTTTTTTTTTTTTTTTTTTTTTTTTTTTTTTTAAAAAAAAAAAAAAAAAAAAAAAAAAAAAAAAAATAATAATAATAATAATAAAATAAATAAAAATTGGAAGAAGAAGAAGTAGAATGGAGGAAAGGAGGGGAATTTTTTTAAGAGAACCTACACCTTCAAAATGCTACAAGTCTTTCACGAACCAATTACCTTCAAATTTGATTGTTTCTACATTTCTCCTGTAAGTAAGGAGCATAATTGACTTCATAGTTGATATCCCCACTATCTAAAATACAAATCGAAACACGAGTTCACGATTGTGCTACATTTACATAATATGTTTATATAAATATGGTGGTGAGATATGATCATATTAGAATTTTTTTCAACCAAATATATATATATATGTATTAAAAAAAAATAGAATTCGTCTCTTTTCTGATACATCATTTGTATGTAAACTAATGTCTGACTGTTTATGTACAAAGAATATATTTTTTTTAATTATTGTTAATACAACTAAAACTTTGTTATCAGTGGCGGATCCAGGTACTAACGAATTAAGGCGGCCGCCCCTAGTTAGATCCGTCGGAGTCTTCAATAGCCACCGGGACTGCCGAGTGAAAGTTACAGTTCCATTGTTGTAGTCTCCAGAAGCTTCAGCGTTGAATGAAAGGGAACTAGAGGACATGATTAAATTATGTTGCAACCGATAGCTTGGTTTGCAGTTGCAGACTTGCAAAGAGTCAGCTATGGAGAAAGTCGGAGAGGCAGGAAGAAGACAATGTGTTGTCTTTTTTTCTTTTGAGCTGATGACAATTGAATGGAATGGGCTTCTTTTTGTTTAAAAACATAAGGCCTAAATCCAACTGCCCAAAATCCAAATCAATGAATCATTAATCAATTCATGGTCATTTTCAAATTTCAATTTCCCCCAAATCGTAAAAGAGTACCAACCACGAAAGAGAGATCTCAATCCCACGTTTTAGTTTCTAATGTTGCCACTGAAGTTAACCCTGGCCAAGAACAGGTACTAATTTTCTTGATCTCGGTACCTCTTGATCGTTTGCATGTAATGTATGATTAAATTGTCAGTAGTATTAGTTAGGATATCTAGTTTAGTAATTGTAGGGTTAGAAAGTTTGCCAGAAATAAGAGGTGCAGCTTTATTGATACATGTAATTGGAGAAAAATTCTAACTCTCGGAGGATTTTTAGCATTTTTATAATTCAGATACTTGTTTGTAGACTGTTTCCTGCCTGTAAGTGCAGTTTCGCGTTATTGTTACATTTCTTTGGTGAATGAATTTGGAACTTCGAAATTGGAGTTTGGGAGAAAAGAAATACATTCAACTTTGAAATGCAAGTTAGAATTCCCATTTTAAGGGCTGAATGCCATGCTGCCAAACAAATTAGGCATTGCATATATTTTGTGTTTAAAAAACCATCACATGGAGATTACGACTGCCACGGATACGGCTACCTCCGATGCCTTGATGGACCATTCATAGGCTCTCTATTGCCTCAGAGTGAATGGCATGCAAATCTTTGGGGTCCAAGTGACATCTTGCTTATAAGCGACTATCATTACATGGCTTCTTTGCCTCGTTGGCCAGCACGTAGATAAAGGCGTAATAATTATCCCCCAAAACTATTCTTATGAGGTGTTGGATTTTGATTTTTTTAACTTTTCAAGGAGGTAAGAATACTAAAATGAGTAGAATTCCGATGTTTAAAAAGCTTCCGAACCTCCGTTTTTGTGTTCGAAGCCCTTCCCCTTCCCCCGTGTTTCTTCAACTCAAATTTTGAGTTCTATCTATTATTTTTGCTGTCGAATTTTATATTTTCTCAAGAATGTGTGAAAGACTAGTACCATATCTGTTTCTGTCAATTGTTTACGTGGAGAATTGATAATAGAACCACGATAAAACTTTAGGAGTATGCCAGAACTGCAAATGGGGCAAACAATTATATGGTTATTCGTGTAGAAAAACTTAAGAAATAGAAATGTGCTGAGTAATATCTTGCTGAGTTGCGAATTCTGAAGAATTTGTTCGATTTTTCTGTTAAAAATATTAATTTTCAATCCCAATTGAAACCTCTGGGGATTTATAGAGGGATGGGGATAGAGAATAATGTTCAAAGTTAGCTGGGGCAGAATAAAGCATCATTGTTTATCGTTGCATTTGTGAGATTATATTAGTAAGCTTGCCCCCTCGCCTACATAAAAATAATAAAAACCCAAATAATAGTTTCCTAAATGCATGCACAAGAAATTCACTTTTTAATAATCACAAGGCGATTGGGAAAGGCTGAAGCTCCAATTGAAACCCCAAATGTGCAAACTCTTTACCTAATTGCCTAATTCCATAAATGGATAAGTGGCAACATTTTATTAGGGGTCGCAGCTATCGTCAATTGACGTTAAAAGCTGGATGCAGCAAATAGCCAATGACAGTATGTTCAATTCTTATTAGTTGATAATTTTACTTTCATGGTACTATGGGGTTAACTATAAGGGTGCGTTTGATTGACATGGAAAATATTACCTAGAAAAGAAAATATTTTCCATCTTTTGTGGAAAATAAAAACCACCTCTACCCAAGGAAAATATTTTCCTTAAAAACAAGGAAAATTAGGCATATTTTCAAAAGTTGGAAAATATTTTCCATGGAAAAAAATAGCAATCAAACACTCAAAGTGAAAATTTGGATAAAAAACTGATATTTTCCATGGAAAATAAATGTAATCAAACACACCCTAATAATTTTTTATTTGAGAAATTCAATCTCTCTAGACTCTAGGTTGCAACTTAGGTTTCCTTTTACCAGTTTTACTTGTGACTGATGAGAAGCTTTTCTTTAGAGGCGTCACATGTATGTTTAGAGATGATGCACTCAATATTCAATTTTCTGGTACTTCATAAATAACTTTAAACAATCTAATAATACTTACATACTAATCGTTATATGTCTGGTAAGAGCCTGTGTATTAATCCTCTAATACTATCAAATTATATTTTTACATGTATATGATTTTTACATTTTTGTGCTTTTACATATAGATCGAAGAATTTTTAATATTATTCAATTAAATGTTAATAAATGACCTCGCTATATAGTCGTTGACTATTGACGGGTTAATGGTCAACTAGCGCCTGCCCTAGCTGACTTCCAATCCGGGATTCGCCACTGTTTGTTATGTTCCATATAGATATTTGAAGCTAATTACACAAGTATTATTAAAATTGATTTACTATTAATAAAATACGAATTCTAACTTCTTGTATACCTCAAAACTTTATCTCAACTGACGAAAAATTTCTTCCTTCGTCTCATGAAAATAGACTTACTTTCCTTTATCGCATGTCCCAGATTATAAGTTACTTTTCCTATTGATAATATAACCCTTGTTTGAGCCCCATTTTAGAGGAAATAATGAACTTTTGAATAGCGCATCAATTAAAAATGTGTTGTTAAAAAATAAGGAAAATTTTTGAACTTACGTGTACTTATATTATTGAAGAATGTGTGATTGAAATGATATTAAAACAATGTTGTAAAAATGCATTTTATTTTTCAAAAGAATGGGGCACAAACAAAGGCATAGTCAACTTCTTAATTTTCTAATAAGGAAAAAGATGGATGGATGGGGCCAACGTGACCCTATCCGTGTAGCAGAGCCCTTCCAATGAACCCTATTAAATATACATTGTTATCAACAAATATGAACTATTCATTTCAATCATTATTTTAATGTGTGTGTGTGTGTGTGTAATTACATTTCCAAGAATATTAATTTCATTTTCTTAATTTGTGTGAAAATGGAAACAAGTCTATCTTGGTCTTATGGAGAGGGTAGAATATAAATATCAAGATGTAGGATAAAACCAATCAGACTCAGGCCAGTATAGCCGGATTTATACCTCTAATTATTGGCAATATATTATACAATATAATATAATTATAAAATTCTCTCCTCATGCATAAAAGCAGAAAAAATGCTGTATAATTCATGAAAATAAGTGAATTTAAATCAAAAGTGATTGACTACAGTTTTACCACAGAAAACTAAACTAGAGATTAAGCTGTACCGCAACTACTCACTTGAAAGGCTGGCAACAAGATTGGATATAGTGATAGCGGTTCATCTCAGCAGCACATTGCAAAGAATAGTGTTCGATTAAAAATGCATGATCTTCATCTCTGGTCGATCCTTCTATTTCCGTCTCTTTGAGATTGCTTTGCAGGGGTCAATTTCCTAAACGAGGCATGTAAAATAAAGACTGCAAAAATATTTACAAATATCTCAGTAACACCGAATGCCTGTGAAATAGAAAAGGCGCCAGCAGAAGGTAATGAATGCAAACCTGCGTAACTGACACCAACAGCACATAAGAGGGCCAATTGGACATTGGAAAAGAACAGAATAACTGCAGTTGCTGTGAGGACGAGGAGGCTTGATTAGCATTTTGTAGACGGGATAATACTATGCACAAAACTCTTGTGTTGCTGTGAAGATCATATATTGACATAAACAATACTACAAAAGGTTCCTTCAATTGGAACAAGAGAATCAAAGATACAGAAGGATTCAGTTCTCAAACAAATTCTCCGTAGAAGTGCAAGGAAGTCAATTCTGTACACTTAGACACAGTTTAGGTTTTTCTGAAGATGATACAGAAAACTGAAAACAGCGTTAAACGAGAAGTTGAAAATGACATCAAATTTGTATATAGCCCATAAGGGCAGAAGATAATTCACCAATAAGAGCAACACGCTTTAGAACACTTGAAAATTTTAATTTGCAGATTAAGGCTTTGCTTGTCTTCCTTTCTTTCACATTTTACCACATTATTTTTTCTATAGTACTCATTTTTAACCACAGATTCTTCATTAAAATAATATTACACATAAATCAAAAATTTTTCTTTCTTTTTTAACCACACATTTCAATATCAATCACTATTTCATAATACATTACACACAAATAACAAAGCACAAACCAGCACTAAGTTCTCAGAACATCAGTCATGATGACCAAAAAGGCCATTTTATTATAAACTTCTCAATCATGCATGTGCTCCTTTCCAACAACAACCTGTACTACAAAAATTAGGAACCCAAAGTCCCATTGACTTCCCAAGTTGTGGAATTCTTTTGGAATTATAGTAAGACCCATGCATCCTACCTTTTCAAAAAGAAGATGAAGTAGAAGATGACACTTCAAAGATGGTGATGTACATTATATTCTAGAAAGTTAAAAACTCAGCTAGTTATTGGTATCACCAGCCACCAGTAGCAAAGAAATTTCCACTTGACATAAGCTGTGCCTTTCACCATTAAACTTGAAGACAGGTGGTGTCATAATTCTATGATAGACATATAATCTCATATCTTGGGAAAGGTATCAGTCATTGTTTCGCTTGTATTATATCATATTTATGTTCAACTTCAGGTAATATGGACTTTTCAGTGGAAACAAGCTTTTGTGTCATTTTATAACTCAAATGGGCAACTTACATGCTCCATATCCATGCAGAAACTTGAAATAAGCATATCCGCATGTGGTCCAATCTTCTCATGGGAAGATAATATGTTTAACTCACTCTGGACAATTTGATATGTAAACCAATAAATAGAAATCAGCACTTGACATGTTTTGTAATATGGAATAAACCAACACAACTCTACCCCACCCCCACCAAAAATAGAAGAGAAACTGATGGTACTTGTTAGTTCAATCATCAGATTGATAAATAGAAGAGTGGTCAGTTTTCTAGCAAGACTACCTGATAAAACCACCCCCACTTACCCCTCCTCTTCCCTTAGAAAAACAGTAAGAGAAGAAAAAATGGTGGTAGTTCAATACGATTGAACTGAAAAAGAGTGGCCATTCTTCTAGCAGAGCGAATTACAATATATTTTTTCCTAGTTCTGAATTGAGCAGTTTTCTTGCTCAAGTAAAATGAAAGTCAAATTTCCATTTAATTGACGAAACTTAAGTTTAAAATAACAGAAGTTCAAGAATGTGTATTTACAAATTCATATTCATGGAAGGACTATAACACAGTCAACAATGTATCAACTTTTACTAAAAAGCCACTGTCACAAAATTAAGTTTACTGATATTATTTAATCAGCATATGGTCCTCATCAATAGTAAAGCTATACTGATTCATAGTAGACTAAAACTGGCAACACTGGAACATCTAAGCTCTAGCCATTGTCCCAAAGGGAATACTTTCGAGCCATCAAAGTCACTGCCATGTAATTAGGTTATTTTGTATGATTTATAAATTTATTCCCTTCATCTACATACCTAAAAACTAAATGGCTTAATCATGCATCTGTTGGGAACAAAGATATACAAGTTCTATTCATTGTGTCTAAGAACAGATTTCATTCATCTGCTTCTTGCAGGTTTGTATCCAACGATGCAGAACTTAGATTACTTCCAGCCAACAAATGCAGCAAACAAGGAAACTCGAATTCAATTTGAAGAAAAATGAACTCAACTCACCACACTGCGCAATATGAAGCAAGGTTTGTCTGAGATAAGGGCGCCTATATAATTCCCACCGATCAGCACAAAACTTAAATATGTCCCACAGTGCCAAACATGATATCAACCCAATGAGAGCTAGCGGCAATTGATATCTGCCATTGTATTTACAGATTTATACAGTAACTATAACATGAAAACATTACAGATCAAAGAATGAGAACGATCCAGAAGACACTGGAATAGACATATGATGAAAAAATCGTTTTATTCAACCTTAATATACCAGTAACCTTTACTTATCAATAATTAACTGACAACATGAAAAATATAAACAATTAAGAGAACATCCATATTCTTCTAAGCGAACCTTTTATACCATAAACCTTTATGTACAAATAACTGAATAAAACTCAGTAAAAGTTAAATCTTTGCCAGATATGATGAAAAAAATGCCAGCTTTAAAATCAATAAAACTTCAAAATACATGTAGCGAGATAGAGCGAGAGAATAAATGCATATTTTACTCCAGAACAAAGAAAGAGTAAAATAACAGTTTCTTCGCCAAAATTTTCAAAGTCGAGCTCAAACCCCCAAAAATAACTAAAATCAATAAAACACTCTTCCGACAAATTTGTAACCACAAAAACATATATGCATAGAGAGAGATAGAGAGTAACTACAGAGAGCAAGCCAAGAACACGATGAAGAGTAAGGCGTAATTGCGGGCAAAGCGCTTGACATTCTCTTGGACACGGAGGCGGGCCTGGGAAGGAGAAGCTGGAAAGGAGTAAGAATTAGAGGAGCCGAAGAACGCGAGGGTCCAAGACGGCGTGTCGCCGGAGAAGTCATCGGCGACGAGCTTGGAGAAGGGGTTGAAAGTGAGGAGCGAGAAAAGGGTCCAAAAGCGGGAGAAAAGTGATAAGAGGAAGCCGCTACAGTTAATAGAAGAGAAAGTGGAGCCGGCGGCGGAATTATGGGGCTTGGTGGTGGTGGCGGTGGCGGCAGATATGCGGTGGAGGTCGGAGGTCCGCTCGTCGAGGATTTCTAGGTAGCCGGAGTCTCGGAGCCAGGACTCGAAAGCGGGTTCAGGAACGCTTAGAGCTAATGGGTTCGCCGTGAATACCATTATCTTTCTCTTTTGTCTGTTCTTCGAATTGGCTTCCTTTATCCCATATTTTAATAAAAAAAAATAAAGTGTTTTTTATTTTTTATTTTTTTCCCTCTGATCCAAATTATCAAAAAAACTAAAAATCAAAGGAGTTTACCAAATGTCAGTCGTACTCACTTCTTTTCGCGGTCATTTCTTCAAACACCTGGTGTCTCGCTCTACCGCCACTCTCTTTTCCGTCCGCCGCCGTATCCACCGTCGCACTTCACCCAAACGCTTCCCGTTCTCTGCCTTAACTCCCACCCAAGTAGCTCTCCACCAGCCACCATGGAGTCGCTCTTTTGCTACCGTCGATTATTCAACCATACCCTCAACTTCTAATTCGGAAAGTACCGAGACTAGTGAGAGTTCGTTCGCTTGTCCTTACCTCTCCGTTAGAATAACTTGCATGAAATATGTTTGTGTAAGCTACCCTAATTCTCCTCCCCTCCCAATTGTTATCACTAATAAAATTATCCAATTACAAGACTAATTTTGTCGTTACTAGGATATGCTTTCGGAGGCCCTTTTGTGTTTTGGAGCTAGTTCTGTCACCATTGATGAACAAGAATCATACGGGGACAACGACGAGGTAGCGAATGACATTTTTAGTTATTGCTTGTCCTTATCACTATGGTAATTTCTGCTTTATTGTTGGATAACCTAAATTGCAACTATATGCAGATGAAGATCAGTTCTATATTTACTATAAGTGAGGATGTAAAGGAATGCATTTCACAAGCCGCAGATTCAATTGGCCTGAGAGAGATGCCCAATTATGAAGTGGAGATGCATGATCATACTGATTGGATTAAACAAACTCAGGTTACTTCCGATTTATCCCATTGTTTTCTTTTTCCTTCCCTACTTTAAGCTTATAAACTCTCTTTACTACTTAATTTTTTGAATCTTATAAGTTTGCTGATCATGACATTTCATTCTGTGCAAAGCAATATAAATCCATAAGCTAGAATTTACTTAATCGATGATGAATTTCCAAGCTTTTTTCTATTTTGCAAACTTGCTATTAAATCTTGAGGTCTACTCATTAACTTTTGTAAAAATTATCTCTATGTAGGAATCTTTTCATCCCGTGAAAGTTACAGAGGGACTTTGGATTGTGCCTGAATGGAGAAAACCCCCTGTATGCTTCTACTTGTTTTCTGTTTACATTTTTTTTATCGTTGTTGCTGATTTCAATACTTTGCAACTGTTCCTTAGCTTTCTTCTGCATTCAATGTGTGCACGCTCTTGATTTTCCACCTTTCTTTGTTTTATGTCAACCCAACTGTTCTTTTTACTAAAGATGACACATTTTAATCTTGCATGAATCCTACTTTTAATTTACAGTGATGAAGTTTGACCACTGGAAACATTAATTTTATTTACATACATCAATTTTGTGTGCTTGAACTTACAGGATGTACAAGCAATAAATATAGTTCTGGACCCTGGTTTGGCATTTGGAACTGGGGAACATCCTTCTACAAAATTGTGCCTATTGCTGCTACAAAGTTTGATAAAAGGAGGAGAATATTTCCTGGACTACGGCACAGGATCTGGTATTCTTGCAATTGCAGCACTTAAGGTATTTCGCTCTTTACTTAGCATCTGTTCTAAAACTTTTGACTTTTGTTGATGCGGAGAGCCTTTAACTTGAAATTTTTATCAACTTATGAAGCTAATCTGGCTAGTGATACAACATGCTTGTTATTTTTTATTGGATAATTGAGGGACATCCTTTAAAGTATGGTAATGATGACCCAAGACAACTTTTTGAGGTAATTTTGAGGTGGAAGATAAGTTAAGTGTGGATTTTTGAAATCTTTCTTTAAACTAATTAAAATACTGAGCTTACACGATTAAGAGTTATATTTCTCTCTGATTCTAGAACGGGAACTTTTCTAGGCTTGGTATTTTATATCTTGGATCTGCTTTGTTACAGAAAGACGATGTAGAACAATGAAACTTGGTAAGTAAGCACTGCACCTAAAATGCTGATGGTGCTTATAAACTGAGAACTAAAAAAATCCACTTTTTTTTCTGAAGAAAATTATCAATATAGAATGTTACAAAATTTATAGTTCTCAAAGCAAATTGCCCATTGAGGTTGAGTTTTCTTCATAAACATGAACAAGGTATAAGGATAAGGTCGGACAAGCCAAGCCATGTTTACATCTGAATATCGTCTGAGTCAAGAGAACCATTTTTCCTTAGATAAAAGAGTAAATCAATTCAATTCCAAATTACTCAGCGTCTTACAAGTTAAGATAGGTCAATAACATCTTTGTTCTGATGCCAACTTATTTATATATTTCCGGATTACAGGTTAAAAGAACCATTTTTCCTTAGATAAAAGAGTAAACCAATTCAATTCCAAATTACTCAGCGTCTTACAAGTTAAGATGGGTCAATAGCAGCTTTGTTTTGATGCCAATTTATTTATGTAAATATAGTATATTTCCGGATTATTGCATATGGCCACTTCAAATTGATATTCTCACTAAGATGCAGGGATACTTGTAAACTTAATGCGTACCTGTATGTCATACGTATGCAAGCTTGGTTACGCTTGGACACTCTCCGATACGTACTAGATACGTGTTTTCTAATATTTTTATTTTTAAAAATTTCAATATGTATTGGACACCTTAGGACACATGAAGAAAAAAGAGTTTTATAGGTTTTAAACTCTTTTGAAACTTATTATATTATTTTTGACAATAGATGAAAATTGTTTTACTTAATAGACACTAATTATTAATTAACAAGGATGACCTACTATTTTTGTGCACTCTATAAGAATGAATAAAATAACTCCACGATGAGCTCAAGAAGTGATTTTTATTCATAGCAGTCTGCATGTTTTATCAAGAAAATTAAGTATTTATTCAAAAGGAGAATCCAAGATATAGGACATTGTTGGGGAATCACTTAATACCATTGAAGGTGTAAGGTTGCTTGAGGTGAGCCATAGTTGGAGAGTGGAGTTTTTAATGCTAATAAAGAAACTGATGGCGGTGTTATTGAAGAAAATGAAGTTGGGATAATTAAGGATTAAAATTAAAATACTTTAATATTTTATTTTATTTTTATTGCAATGCTTCTGTTTATATTATATACGTGTGTGTGTAATGAAAATTTCACATTGCATATCATCTGAATGGTACAACTCTTCAGGTGGACTAGTAGAATGAGTGTATTGCCAAATTTGTCATATAATTGTTCAATTCATTTGAGTTCTTGATAGAGCCAGGCTTTCTTTTGTTCAGAAAGTTCCTAATTGAATCCGTTATGTACTGCTCAGTGCTCACTTCCCACTTAGCCCTTGTTTGGGCTCCATTTTTTCATAACTGCATTTTCTCAAAACTCATTTCCAACCACATTCTCCCATAATATAATGTTACACATAAATCCAAACTTTTCCGAAAAATCAATATTCCAAAATATCTTTTCCACCCAAATCTCATTTTAATCCGAACACAAACAGGGGTTAATATGTATACAATGCTTAGTTCCATAGGTGGCTTTGTTGTTAGCTAGTATTTTTCAAATGATATGACTATTGAGCTGATTTATTAATCATCATTTTATGGAGAGTGCAGTTCGGTGCAGATCGTTCAGTTGGATTTGACATAGATCCCCTAGCAATTACATCTGCTCGACAAAATGCTGATCTGAACAACATAGGACCTGACAAGTTTCTTTTAAGTCTAATGCCAAGCAAGAATGATCATGCCTTGGATAGTGGATTTTCACGCGAAGACATGAGAACACAAGACTTATACAATGCAAGGATCATTGCTGAGATGAACAAGTATGATGTGGTTATTGCAAATATACTATTGTATCCTCTACTAGATTTGGCCGAAGCAATTGTCTCTTATGCAAAACCAGGTGCTTTGGTTGGCATCTCTGGTATCATATCCGAGCAGGTACAATAATACTTTTGGTAAATATTGCATTTGTCATCTAGTTAGCAATGGTCAAGAAAAATTAGGCATAACACAATAAAGATACGAGATTATAAAAGATCACGATGTCTTTAAACTTAGAGGTTGTTTGACCAAGCTTTTGATAGAAGTCTTTAACAGATGTCGATGAAAGTAGTTGAAATATGTGGTTAAAATTGAAGATTGATCAATTGAAAAGTTGATAAAATTTTAATAAAGTTTATCAAACAAGCACTTAGATAATTAAATATAGAATGATAAAACAATAATTATGAGAAAACGATAGATTAATAAAAATTGGACTTCATTTTTATAATTAAAAAATATTCTCTTCATTCAAGGACTATCTTGCAGTAGATAACGGGTTTCTAGTAAAACAGAACTAAGTGCTTAGAGTCTTGGACCGGATTTGATATTACATTAATTTCTTATGTAGGTTCCTTGTGTCGTTGAACATTATTCTCAATTTTTGGAGGACATCACGGTGTCAAAGATGGATGATTGGGCTTGCATAAGAGGTACTAAGGAGAGAAATCAAGCATAAGTTATAGATATTGTTGTAAAATTTTGTTTCGCAAGTGTACAACCCGTAACAAGTAATAGTGGACCTAATAGTCCGGATTGTCGATCCCACAATGACTATTTTTTAGCACTTAATTCAATTTTTCTTTAAATACTATTTGACTAAAATAAATTAAAGGTTGTAAAATCTAGGTTTTAATTTAAATTCTAGAAAATAAATAAATGTTCTCACGATTGGTTGGAGAATCAAATAATGAATGGATGTTATGGTAGAATAATTTCACCAATTGATCACCTTTACATCTCAAATTAAAACTCAATTTTAATATAGTGCTCGGTCGAATTCTCTTATTGTATTCAATTTACCCCTCTTGAGTTCTCATTGAGCCTATTCAACTAATTAAATTTCATATCTCTATGCAAATTCAATTTAGTTAAACGAGTTCTATATCTTAGGAATTTAATTATGACCACAATAAATGGTATAGGTATCTTTACTCGTTATACCAATGTACTGAATTTTACTACATGGTCTAAATCCTAAATTCATATCTCTATTTGTAAAGAATTCACAAAAATCATCAAATTATTGATCAAATAATTTAATGCATTCAACTCATAGCAAAATCAACACATGGAATAATTAAAAACTGAAAGTCTTAATAAGAGAATGTAAAAGATCCCAATTGGTTACATTATTTCCCCTAACAATGAATTTAGCTACTCATAATACAAGAAGAAAAGTGGGAATTTGTCTTAGAATACATCATCGAGTTTGTAATAAAGATGTAGAAGAAAAAGTAGAATTTTTGCACCAAGATCTCCTTCTTCTTCCAATGAATGCTTCTAATCTTCAATTGCTTGGTGTTAATCTTCTTGAATTTCTCTTTTGAATCTCCCTTCTTGTTGTCTTCTCTCCAATATGTCAAGAACTCTTCAAAGGTATGAGAACGATGTATTTATAGGTGTCCCTCCGTTTTATGTAGAAGTAGGGTTTTTATGGATTTAAAAACGGCCCAAAAAAACACGCCCTAGATATTCAATCGTAGCGCCTGGGCGCTACGGTAGTGGCTCCTAGGCGCTGCCTCTCGAGTCCAAATTTCATCTTTTTTTCAGTTTCGTAGCGCTAAGCGCCGCCTTTTTGCCCCAATTCCGTGTTTTTGGTATTTTCGTCCACTTTAATACCTCTTTTCACATCGCTTCTCTTAATCTTCAAAACAACACTAACAAACACATCAAAAACGTTTTATACTCACAAGATCTAGCATTTAATCAAGCTAAAATTGTGCAAAAATCATGAGTGAAACAAACTCATCATATATAAATTTTATGTCCGTGAAAGTCAGGGTGATCACTGTTTCTTCAACTACAAATTTTGATGCAAATGTCTTTTAGATGTAATAAAAGTTCAATTTCATGGAGTTGTGAATGTACAATGTAGCAGAAACTTGAAAAACCAAGACCACTCTATATTCATGCTTTGTGAACACAATATAGGCCTTTTCCTTTTCATTCTCAAGTTCTATTAGTCGTGGATGCAAATAAATAGTTTATACACAGAAGATATAATTTGTTATCTAAAATAAAGTTACATTTTATATTCTGTAAAAGACATGTTGCTGTCTATTTCACAATCATGTGCATGATTTGTCTTGTTCGCGAATGTGGTGACTTCTTTGTTACTTTGTTGTTGTTTAGTTCTTGATTTTGTCACTATATTTCTGTTCCGTGTGGAAGAAAAAACCTCTAAAGAAAAGCGGATTTCCGTGTCAAGAAACCCTGCCTGGATAAGGATGTTTACATATTACAAGGTCATTGCATCCAATATTATATATATTCCAAAAGAACAGGATATGGATCTATTTCGTGCAAAGAGGCGTCTGGATCTTGGCTACTTCGATCTAATCCCGAATTCGTGTAGTATGCTGACTCATTCGTAGGAATCCCAAAGATACGTATGTTTATATTATGATAAAATTACGGCATGATTTGAAATTGATAAGTGGGTAGTTTTTTCAATTAATGTGCCACGAAAAGAGTTTCGTTATGTGCAAAGATAGCAGTATTTTAATCACTAATCAAAACTCTGTTCTTCCAAGATTGAGAAGATGAAGTTACTATTTTTTATAGTATCACAATTGAATCGTGCTACACTTAGTGACAACTTTTAAAAATTTAAATTATTTGTTACAGTATCATTCTTCATTACACATTCACATAATAAAATATTTGATACACAAATCAATAAAATTTTCCTTACTTTTTAATCACACATTTTCCAAATAATACTATTCAAAACTCTTTAATTCTTACCAGTATTGGGTGACAAACAGGGCTTTAGAGGGATTACTTTGCAGAATTTTTACAAATGCAGAGTTAGTTTTTCATTGGTAGTCAGCGAAAAAAGGAAAAAAAAAAATTGCACTGTTAAAATTCTGTGAAAACAACCCTTGTACATACATCCTTTTTCCATCGAATCATGCTTGGGTCAGAAAGGCCAAGTGGCACGCCCTCTAGGTGGGATAAGTGGGACATGTACTCGTAGTACATGTCCTTAATTATGATATACGACAGATAAAGAACAAATTTAAAAATAGGATACGCACCCGTCAATATATGATTAAATTGTTTGAAAAATATAAATAATAAGTACTCAATCATCTGCTATTAAGTCAATTTATTTTTTCCTAATCTTTGAGTTTGGACAAACATCGTTACTCTATTATCCTTCTCCATCAATTGGCAACACGTGTATAATAAAAAATTAAAAATTAAAAAAAACACCTGTAAAAATTTTGTGAAAACAAAGCATAGCTTTTTCCATAACATTTATTCCGTGTATTTCGCAGAGTTTTCTGCTAACGTTTTTTCTTTGGAAAATGCAATGTGGCCAAGCTCGGGGATCGACTCGGGGACAGGGTGCCGAGGTGGCAGCACCTCGGCTATTGGATCTGCAAAAAAAAGAGAAAATTGAAGTTGAAATCGAGGGCTGAGGTGATGCCACCTCAACCCCCTGTCCCCGAGTCGGTCCCCGAGGTGGGCACTGTAGCACGGTTGTTTTTCTTTTCCTCTCATGATCACTGGTCCTTCGCTAACCTTATATAAGACAACTTCGAATATAACGAAAACAACATGCGACTCTTGCCCGGTTATGCCGCATGAGCGTGTAGTACCCTCAACCACACATATAAGTTCCATTCTCAACACGCAAAACAAATCAATGCACAAAACGTCCACCCACCCTAAAACATACACACACAGAATTTCAAGAAAATCTGTTGATTCCTAAAAAAAATAGCCACCTAAAAAATGGAGGATGGGAAGAAGCAGAATTTAGATATTGAAACTCCAAATAATATTACTATTAAAGGGATCATTGGGTTGTTGATGGGTAATACTGATTGCAATGATAATCGAAAAGTGATTTCTTTGGGAATTGGGGACCCAACTGCTTATTCGTGCTTCCATACAACTGATGTTGCTCAAGAAGCTGTTGTGGAGGCTCTGCGTTCTGCTAAGTTTAATGGTTACTCTCCCACTGCTGGACTCGCTCCAACCAGAAAGTAATGATTTTTTTTATTTTATTTTTTTTAAATTCATTTCATGCATGCAAGTGTTTAGCCATTTATAGTTGAAATTAACATGGGTTTGGATTGATACACAGTTTCGGTCAGTAATTTCAGATGCAGTAATCAAGATTTGTGTATAATTACTTTTGAGCTATGACCTTGTAAATTAATTGTCTTGGCAAAGGGACTCCTGCATGTGTTTCGTATTTTATTATTATTATTATTTTTTTTAGGCTTTAGTTTCTTGACTTTTCATTTTGAAATGAAAGAAATTAATTTACTGGGCAAGGAATTTTTGTGCTAAACTGCTTTTTTATCTCATTCTTGCAGTCCAACTTCGAGTTATATTTCCCCTTGTGAAGCTCTGCATTTTCAATTTTCTAAGTTTACCACAATTGGGTTTATCTAATCTTTCAATCACAAACAATTTATGCATTCACCATCTTAATGTTTAATGGTGCATTTTAACCTTAATTTCTTTGGGAAATTGTATAGTCGCTCCTCGGACAAGTGAACACTGAAGGTGCTGATCTTTAGATCTTTTGGTTATCGTTGTCTATGTGAAGTGCAAGTAAAAAGTGTGCTTTGTGTAACGGTTATGTTAAGAGTAATTGGAACCACACTGTTCATACAGTCTGTTCAGTAGTTTATCTTAACCATAAATTTGTTGTCTTCGCATCCAAGTTTCATATTTAGATTCTCTCCTTCTAGTATTCATTCTATTATGCTGTGTTTACCAAACAGGGCAATTGCAGAATATTTGTCCCGTGATCTTCCTTACAAGTTATCATCAGATGATGTTTATCTCACTGCTGGTTGTACACAGGCTATTGAAATAACACTGTCGATTTTGGCTCGGCCTGGTACAAATATATTGCTTCCAAGACCGGGTTTTCCAATTTATGGACTTTGTGCCACATTTAGACATCTTGAGATTCGGTATTATGATCTTGTTCCCGATAAGGGATGGGAGGTTGATCTCGAAGCTGTTGAAGCCCTGGCTGATCAGAGTACTGTTGCAATGGTAATTATAAATCCAGGGAATCCATGTGGAAATGTCTACACATATCAACATTTAAATAAGGTTGGTGTGGATCTTGAGCTTCTTTTTCTGTGTATAAATGCTTAGTAATATTATGTTATTCTAAAAATCTTTGTGCGCTGAAATTAGATTGCTGAAACTGCGAAGAAGCTTGGTGTAGTAATAATTGCTGATGAAGTTTATGGCCACCTTGCTTTTGGGGCTAATGCTTTTGTTCCCATGGGGGTTTTTGGATCCATTGCACCCGTGATTACTCTTGGGTCTTTGTCAAAGAGATGGTTAGTGCCTGGTTGGCGCCTTGGCTGGTTGGTTATGAATGATCCCGATGGGAGCTTGAAATCCCCAAAGGTTTGTTACAATTGACAAGATTTTAACTTATTTTCTACCTGTCAAATAGACCATGAATGTTCTCAGCTTCTACTTCAATATAAATATGGATAAATGGACACTGACCATCTCTTTTTTGGCCTCTGCCTTTTCTCTTTCAGTTTGTTGAGCGTCTTAAGAAGTACACCGACATTTGCGGAGGTCCTGCAACCTTTATACAGGTTTGCACTTTAACATTCATATGCTCATGCAGTTGTTCTATATTTATTACGAACTGAACTATGCGAATAATTCATGGCCGAGTCACGAGTGTTTTATTTATTTATTTATTTATTTTTTCATTCGTGTGCCAGGCAGCAGTTCCAACTATTATTGAGCAAACACACGAGGTGTTCTTCAGAAAAACCATCAACATGCTTAAGCAAACATCAGATATATGCTTTGAAAAGATTAAGGAGATTCATTGTATATGTTGCCCTTATAAACCAGAAGGGTCAATGGCTGTCATGGTAAGTAATACATGCAGTATGTAGATTCTCATAGAGAAGCAATGTCTTATTGTAAATCGATTTCTTTAAAAAATTTAGGTGAAGCTGAATCTGTCCCTGCTGAAAGATATTACAAGTGACATTGATTTCTGTTTCAAGCTGGCCAAAGAGGAATCGGTCATAATTCTTCCAGGTATGTTCAGTGTGCAGTACTAGATAGGACATGATGTTACATTATAAAAGATTTTAGCTTCTCGTCTTTCTTACCTTGCTGAACATGTCATCAATGTATTAAGCTCTTGGGGAGTAGGCGGTCTTAACTAAGAGCCAGGTGCAAGAGGCATTTCATTTAGTGATGCAAAATTTTCATATTTTTCTTTTCCTGTATGACCGATCTCCAGAGAAAAATTCTTCAAAGTAATGGCCCTTCAATTTATGTTGTCGAATAAATGGAGAAAACAAATTTTCTCATAATATATGCTCTTGTAACTTGTAATAAAAACGAAGAAAGATACAAAATTGAAAGATCTGGAATGCTTTATCTTGGTGAAATATTTGAGTATTGCAGGACTTGCTGTCGGCCTAAAAAACTGGCTCCGAATCACTTTCGCTGTTGAGCCATCATCACTTGAAGAAGGGCTGGAACGGGTGAAGTCCTTTTGTCAACGGCATTCCGACCTACAAAACAGATGTTGATGATTCGAGTCGATCCTTGAATACTTTGTTTTGTTGTATAGGGAAAATAGCTGGTTCCATTGTATACATTGCATTATACTGATCCAGATGAAAATCAAAAGATTACTTACAAATATCACAGCCATGTTCCAAATTTTTCCCTCAGTAAGTATTGAAACTATAGTTAATGTACTGTGTATTCAATTTGATAAAATTAATCTGCAAAAGATATACTTTGTCCCGAGTCCTCTTAATTCTGCTGATCTAAATTTCATAGTTGTGAGATTGTTCAGCCATGTGCAGACACTGACCTCAAGTAAATGTATGTTACGAACACATTTGGTAGAATTCAAGTCTAAAAACTGGCTTGTAAGAAGAACGTGTGTAACGTGTTTGGCTTCCAAGAATGATTTGAGACTACAAATATAGTCTTTTGAGAATCGACATGCACAGAGACTCGTAGCTTTAGTTAGGCGCCTCACGACTAGGCTCTATTGAATACAGTCCTCAGGTCACCTCATTTGCAACAAAAAGGATTGATGCCCTAATCGTTCTATTCGCATAGAACTTCTTCTTCTAAAAAGTAGTCTTTGTTCTTAGGAGTATTTTAATGTACATAATGGTGTACATAAGTGTTTACACCCCCTCGGATGGAGAGGAGCCCACGTACAATACATTATGTGGGTCCCTCTCGATGTGAAGAGGTGTAAACCCCTATATACATCCTAAAGTGTAAAAGTATCAATTCCCTTGTTCTTATACCATTGTTACAAACACTTTAGATAGAATTCATCTTTAACATTAGTTTACAAGCCCAGAAACCACAGTTTCTTTGGACAGACCATTTCTTTTCTTGATGAATTTTCTTCTCCTGCAGGCTGCAGCCATAGCCATATGCATATTAATTAACGAATATCAAGTTTTAAGTGTACATTTGATATGTAGTATCAAACCTTACATTTTAACTTCTATTTCTTTCAAAATATTGTCTAATGATATTTGGTTTTCTATTGTACTTATTCAATCGAGCATAGCTCCTTCCTGGTTTGCTGCTTTATTCTAAACCTTTTTGAAAGGTGATCAATTCTAGTAGAAAAATTGCAAACTCGAAAACGTGTCTTCACTTTAAAAAGAAGAAAATAGGGGTTGTTTGAGCCCCATTTTTCTCAAAAAATACATTTTGAAATAGCGTTATAATAGAGAATGTGTGATTAAAAATTAAGAAAAGATTTTGGATATACGTTTAATATTATTTTATTAAAAAATTTGTGATTGAAATTATAACAAATCATTGTTGAATAATGTATATTCATAAAAAATAGGACTCAAACAAGAGCTATTATATATTTTTATGCCGCTCATACAAGACTACTTTTAACATGGTTAATTTTGTCTCTAGAAAACTGTGGGCCAGCAAAGTCGAGTATATGGGCTTTTCAATTTTATGTTTTCCTCTTCAATTTAAAATAAAAAATATAGAGATGAAAAATATTAAAAAATGTATTCCAGTGAATAGTACACAATATTGTAGATTTGAATAAAATAGCAAAACCTTTTATTACATCTCAAGACACGTATATTTAGGGGGGTGTATTCAATTGAGACTTTTAAAATTTTTGATGAACTTTTTTTAAGTGATGACTTTTGTAGATTTCGTGAATCTTTTATAGATTTGTATAGGAAATGAAAGTCTTTCGTAGACTTTTATGGACTTTCATTTTAAAATTTCTATAGATTTTTGTAGAATTCGAAAAACTTTTGAAAATTTTGTTTTGAAATAGAATTCATGTGGATCTAGTATAATGGTGTAAAATTCTCATATGCGAGGTGTTAATTTCCACAATTCCCTTTCTTCTCATATAATAAAAAAAAAATATATATAAAAATTTAAGATTTTAATTAAATAAATAAAAAAATTTATACATATATATGATTCAATATTATTAGTATAATATACTTTTAAAAAAAAATAAAAATAAAAATAAAAATAAAAATAAAAATATTTAAATTTAATTATAAATTTTTCATATAAAATTTTATAATTTAATAAAAAAAATAGATATTTTTCCCAAAAAAAATGAATGAAAAAACAAAAAAAAAGTTACAAGAATCCAATTTAATTTTTCCATAGAAAATAGCGATAAATAATAAGAGAGAGAAAGAAAGATAAATAGAAATAAATAAAATCAATAGAAAAAAATAAATTTTAATCATACAAGTCGATAGAAATTTTTAAAAAAAAAAGATCGAAAAAAATTGTAAAAGCCTCCCAATATCTCGTGATTAATGAGAGATAAATTTTAGAATTTTATATGAATACTTTCTGTTTAAAAGTTAGTGCTCTAGAGACTTTTGTAAAAGTCTATAAAAGTTATTAAAATTTGAATATCCCAACACTTATAGAGATTTCTAAAAAGTTTTAATTGAATACATTATAACTTTTAGAGACTTTTTAAAAGTCTATAAAAGTCTCAATGAATACACCGTGACTTTTAGAGAGTCTCAAAAGCTCTCAATTGAATGCACCCACTTAAGAGTAATTTGCGCAAACGTCCTTCTGTCAACTTCCCGTTAAAATGCACCATTAAATCAAAAGGTAATTAGCACAAAAGGTCCATACCTTTCAATATTATTGTGTAAAATGTCTATACCTTTCATTTTTTGACATAATTAGTACAAAATGTCCCTACCTTTCAATGTTATTATCCAAAACGTCCATACCTTTCATTTTTTAGCATTTTCACCCCTACCTTTCACCTTTCATTGCGAAAAATGTCATTTTCATCCATTTTTTCAATAAAATGACGATTTTACCCTCCTATTCAAATAAAACAAAAAGAAAAGATGAATTACCAACTACAACCATATTTCTTAAATTTTTAAAAAATTACAAAGAAATCATAAATTCTGAACCACTACCACTTTCACAACCTATCAAGCTGCCAACCATAAATCCACATAACACCACCTTTCGGCCACCATGTCCACCAGACTCCACCACCGTAAATGTGATTGTCTCGGACAGATTGGTGACCAATACTATGAATGAGGACATTGGAGAGAGTGAGGGGAGGCTGGTGGTGGTGGAGTCCGATAGGTGTTGTGGCCGAAAGGTGGCGCTATATGAATCTATAGGTGGTGATTTGGTGGGGTTGCGAAAGTGGGGGTAGTGGATAATTTAGAATTTATCTATAATGTTTTGAAAGATTTAGGACTATATTTGCAATTAATTAATTATTTTTTCTTTTCTTTTTGTTTTATTTCAATAAGAAGGTAAAATCATCATTTTATTGAAAAAATGGATGAAAATGACATTTTGCGAAATGAAAAGTGAAATGTAGAGGTGAAAATGTTAAAAAATGAAAGTTAAGGACATTTTGCACAATAAAATTGAAAGGTATGAATTTTTTGTGCTAATTATGCTAAAAATGAAAGGTATGGATGTTTTGCACAATAATATTGAAAGGTAGAGACCTTTTGTACTAATTACTTTTTGATTTAACGGAGAGTTGACAAAAGGACGTTTTGCGCAAAAAAAAGGTAAATGTGAGGGTGTAATCCGTCAAAAAACGAAATGTGGAGACGTTTTTCATAAAAATATCGAAATGTAAGGATGTTTTGTGCTAATTACCCCCTTAAAGTTTGTTTAGGTATACAGTAAATTAACAAATACTTCAATCAAATTTCGAATTTAGATAAAAATAATAATAAATAAATTGTGCATTATATGAAACACCCGTTTCCATGAAATAGTAGGCCCTCTATTTTTCTCTCTCTAAAAAGCTCTCTGGGAGTAGAGAAAGAAAAATCAATGGAGGCAGAGAATTGCAGGCCATTAGGCTTCTTGATTGGTCTTCCTTTTGCTTTTCTTTCCTTAATCTTATCTCTCGTAGGCCTTCTTGTTTGGGTTATTGGGTTAGTTTCTTAATTCTTCAATTGATTCCAATACGTCTCTTCAATCACATTTTCGTAACGTTTCATCGTTCTTGAAATTATTTTAAGTTTCGTATATAATTGTTGCATGGATCCCTTGATGTTCTTCCAATTCTACTTTCTTTATATTTCATCATTCTTGAAATTAATCAAGTTTTCTTTACGCTGTTCTTTTATCGAGAATAATGCTATTTTATTTTTATTTTTTTTGTTAACATTACGCAGCCGCACGTTCAAATTATTAAGTACTTTCAATTAAACAATCAAGTTTCGTACTTATTGGTTCACATTATGATATTTTTCCAGTCCCCTTTTTTCTTATGTGCTTAATTTGTTATTACATCGATCAAACTTATTAATTTCTTTTTGTAATGTACAGGAGTTTCTTGAGTTGTATATGCCCGTGTTGCATGTGCTGCGCTGGAATTGCAAATTTCTCTGTAAGCCTTGTGAAGATGCCTATCAATGTAATCAGATGGTTTATTGATTTGATACCTTGTTGATTATACACACACACACATATAAGATTGTGCCATTCTTTTATTCAATGCTGTAAGCTCTTAAATTTAAGGATTTTTCATTGTGGTTTAAATACAATGATTTAGTTGAAACATTTTGTACAATCATCTCGTAGTTTGTTTTTTCGATTGATGTAATATTTAATGAAAGAGAATGATAATACGTTCTTGAGTATTTGGATAAACGGAATCAACTTCCTTTCGTCTTAATCTAAAAGGGACTGAAGTTCGTGTCAAAAGAGAAAATTCTGGCTAGAATCATAGTTAGGCTAGTGTGATTGACTCCGCTTATTGTTTGTCACTTTCTTTTTTCGGTTGAGATATTTTCGATTTTCAGTCACTTGAAATTTAAAATATGAAGTGCAATTAGATGAGATCCATACAACAATCAAAATTTCAGCTAGACATGATCAAAGGTTCTATACGTACGTTTGAGGGATTCACAAAAATTTGCATGTATATGATCTGAATACTACTTTTGGGTTTGAATGGGTAAGGATTTTGATGTGATAGTGAATTGTATTTAAGCAAATTTATTTTATGAGGTTTAGAGATATTTGGATTGTTCGATGTGATCAACTTCAAAGATCATCAAATCATGTACATGCTTAAGTTATTTGTATAAGCAAATATGTAAGTATTAAAATAAATGTATTTTTTTTTAACTTTTAAAATAAACTGCTATTCTAATTTTATAAAAAAATGAACCTAAATCTACAATATATTAAAAGTGGGAATGGTGGAGAAACTTTTAAATACCAAATACCCCTATATATTTAATTATATGCCCACTATACCCTCATAATTGAAATACCAATTTAATTCGTATTTATCATTTGGTTTAGAATTAATAAATATAAGGAGTGAAAAATTTAAATGATATTTATCAATTTGGATTGTAATTAATATAAGGAGTGAAATTAACATTCAATTATATCAAAAAATAATAAAATAATAAAAATCAGTGACTTACCATTTAATTAACCATTTTGTTCTTACAATTTTTATTTTTCATCAACAAAACTCTTATTAATCTTCATGATTTACATTATAATTCATGCAATGAGTTTTTATTTTTCAACAATAGAGCAATTTTTAATCTTCATGCTTTACATTATAATTCATCCATTAAGTTATTATTTAATTGAGGTTACAAATATTTTAAAGGTTGCATTAATATATCAACGAGGACATTCAATGAATAAAAAATAAATTACACAAGGAAATTCAATGACTAACAATCTTTTTTTTTTCTTCACAATTTTTAATTTTCATCAACAAAGCCCTTATAACCAATTTAATTAATATTTATCATTTGATTTAAAATTAACATAAATGGTGAAATATTTAATTGATATTTATCATTTAAGTTGGAATTAATATAAAGAGTGAAATTGACATAAATTATTAAAAAAATCAACGGAAATTTAGCGACTTATCATGCAATTGAGCACTTTGTTCTTTCAATTTTTATTTTTCATCAACAAAGCAAATTTTTATTTTTCTTCTACAAAATCCTTATATCCATTGAGTTTTTATTTTTCATTAACAAAGTAATTTTTATTTTTCATCAACAAACTCCTTATTAATCTTCATGATTTACATTATAATCCATCCATTAGGTTATTATTTAATTGAGGTTACAAAATTGAAAGGTTGCATTAATGTATTAATGAGGTAACAAGTGTGCTAAAGATTGCATTAATATATTAATTGGGACATTCTAACTTTTAAAAAATAATAATAAATAAATAAATAAAATTACACACGAAAATTCAATGGCTTTTCTTTCAATTGATTAATTTTTTCTTACATTTTTTATTTTTCATTAACAAAACCTTATTAATTTTCATAATTTACATTATAATTTATGCATTAAGTTATTATTTAATTGAGGTTGCAAAATTAAAAAATTGCATTAATATATGAATGAGTTTACAAGTATGTTAAAGTAAATAACTTCTAGCTATTAGAGTTTTTAAGATTGGCAATAATCCTTTCTACTTCTAATCACCCTACATATGAATGATAGGGAAACATTCAATTGATTATTTTATTCTGAAGTTTTTTATTTTTAATCAATAAAATCCTTATTAATCTTCATAATTTACATTATAGTTCCTACATTAAGTTATTGTTCAATTAATATATATCATTTGGTTTGGAATTAATATAAGGAGTTAATTGACATTCAATTACTTGAAAAATATTAAATGGAAATTCAGTGAGTTAACATTTAATTGACTATTTTGTTTTTAAAATTTTTATGGGAAGGATCGTGTGTGGAGAAAAAGAATTAAAATGTGGGAGTCCAACTTTACATTAATGGCAAGCATAGGTTAGACGTATTTTGATTAACAAAGTAATATTATTTATTAACTTTGATAATTATATAACATAATTAAATTTTAATTAAATATTTAAAAAAATGGCCAAGAGCCTGTTTGGGAATGATTTTTAGAATTAATTTTTTGACTGTTAGAAGAAAAGTGGGGGCCACTTGTGAGAAAAGAAATCAAATATAACGGTTGGAATAGTGAAATAACGATCAAAAAATCAATTTTTTTGAAGAAAAAACCACTCCCGAACAGGCTGCAAATAAGGATTTAATATGAAGTAATTATGACCATTATAGCTAACAAAACCAGCCAACCTTTCTCATTCTACCCCCATGCCATTATAACTATAAAATTGACCTTGCTCATTCTGTTCTATGCTGAAAATTTATAAGTAAAAATCTACGCAAAAGGGCAAGAACTATTGTTAATAAAAGAAAATTTTCTTATGCTAGAATTTCTCAAAATCTATTTCTAAGTTGATGATCATTGTGAAATTTTTTATTTTTATTTTTGGGGGGGGGGGTTTATCATTTATCTTGATATGCATTTCTAATTGATTTCTAATATCATGGATTTAATTGTATCACTAACTATTTAATTTTGAATGATGACAACATCACTGATGAATACATCATCATCAAAATCACTAATAGAAATGAGGTTTGATTCATCAATAGATCAACAAAGTAAGTCAGGTCATCAATTTAATTAGAAAAATATTACTTTTTCTGTTTTGTTATTTGTTAATTTATATTTTTGTTGTCATATCTTAAATTTGTTTTCATATTTTTAGGATTGAGAGATGTCGCCAAACAAAGGTTGCGATCATATTTTTAAAAAAACAAATAACTGCCTTTGAAGAAGAGTGGATTATAAAAGTATTCATACTTCAAAAATGTTCCATTGAAATTTACAGCAACAAAAATGACCATTTTGAAATTTTAAAACTAATTTTATGTGATGAGGAGGTATTGTATTATGTTAGAATAATGTTTCTTATGAAATTTTTACTTTAGACTAATATTTAAAAAAAAAAAAAAAAAATTTCAACGTAGTAAGATTCAAGCTACGTTGTTTAAGGACACAATCGAAAAATTATTTCCTGTGTTTGAGAAAGAAATAACATACCAACTTCGAAATAGAAAAACAAGAGCAATCATTTTTGTTTTTTGCTTTTATTTTTATTTTATTTATATGCATTTAAAGGAAGTTTGAACCAGACTAAAGATGTTGTAAGGCTTTGCTCATATCTTATTGATTTCATATATATATATATATACACACACACACACCAAACCCTAAAAAATGGGTAACTTAAACAAATAGTCTTAAAATGAAGTCATTTTGAAACGTTGTATAAACATGGAGTAAAATATAAAAACAACAATTTTCACATTAAATAACGTATTTACTGCGTTAAAGCTCAAATTCTTAAAGCAACCGCGAATAAAAAGACCAAAAACTAAAACCTACCACCAAAACAATCAATAAAAATCAAACTTATAAGAAAATTTCTTACCACAAATCAATATTAAAAAATCAACGGCTCCTTCAACTCCATTTTTTCAAATAATTTTATATTTTTCTTCTTAAATCTACAAATAATCAAAAGAAATTTGAAGGTTAGTAATTTCTAAATTTTGATTCAAACAGTTAAGATTTTATTTGATTATTCAATATTAGATTATAAATTTCGTGATTATTTGATAAAAAAAAGAAAAAGAAAAGCAATTATAAGATATTTTCTCATGATAACTTTGAATTGTGAACTTTTTTAACTGTTGAAAACATGATACTTTTGTAACAATGAATTTGATGATGTTAAGCTTTTTTGTGTTGCTACATATGAAAATTCATCTTTATATTTTGATTTCGAGTTAATATACATGAAACTTAAATGCAAACTAATTGGATTGGGTTAGTATATTTGAAAATTCAACTTTCAACAAAGTAAAGAGATACATACAAGGTGTTTGTAAAAATCTAAATATGGATATGAAAATGTGAAATTGACATGCTGAGCCTCCTTTTTAAGAACTTCGCAATGTGTTTTTGAAAATGTAAATATGAATATAAATTCAAATTCTGCTTTACACTAAAAGGTGATCGATGTAATACTTTATTTTTCTTGCATGTGAATTGAGGTACTGAAATTTGAAGGCGACACATTCTACCACTTTTATAAGAAAGTCACACATTGTCTCATTTGAATACTTTCGACATATATGAATACAATCAATGTCTTCATTTGTTATGGAAACAAATCAAAACAAGTTAACGAATATAAAAGTTGAAAAAATATAGGAAAGAAACATTAAATGAAATCATTTCAGTTGTTACTATGAAAAAAAAAATACAAAAGCAAAGGAATTTGGAAGATTTAAAAACTTGAGTATTTTTTTTTTTTTTTTGGATTTTTTCAATTTTTTGTCTACTATAGAATAAAATACATATTATAGACTTATATATGTCATTTTTACTTTTGAAATAAAATTGCTAATAGTGTGTTATTTATGAATAGAATGTGAGATATTGTGTCACTTGTATAAAAAATTTAACTATGAGGCATATAAAAGTTCAATAGGTTAAAATAGTCTTCCTAACATTAAACAGAGTACAATATTTGTCCTTTAAGGATGTAGCACGAAAAAGAGGTCTTTTGGAATTTGATCATAGTATTGTTGAATGTTTGGATGAAGCAGTTGCATTTCAAATGCCTTTTGAATTTCGAAGATTATTTGCTACATTACTAAAGTAAGAAAAATATGGGATGTATATTTTGAAGATTTGATAGAAGATTATAGAAAAAATGCTGAAGAATCATTAGAATATTACATGCAATACGCTTTATGAGATATAAAATTTCTCCTCCAATCTACGGGAAAGACTATTATTGCGTATGACTTACCTCAACTAATTGATACCTTCATGGTAACCATGAATCTAATGCAAAAGAAATTTTAGACGAACGGTCTGTAGAAATTCCAAGTGTAGACATTCAAGCATCATCATATCAATATCCAAATCAAAAATATTCTTTTGATGTTATAATTGAAAGAATAAACAGTGGAAATGGGGGGGGGGGGGTTCAATGGACCTCGCGGTATAAAAAACCTTTTTATATGATGCTTTATCTGCAAAGGTTTGATCTCAAAAGATGATAGAACTTGCTAAAGCAAATTCAGTGTAGCAACTTCAATAATGCCATAAGGTAGAATTGCCAATTCAAGATTCAATATTCCTCTTCAGACTAATGAATCAACATTGTGTAGTATATCAAAACAAAGTGGTACAGTAGAATTTATTCGACTGGCAAAGCTCATAATATGGGATGAAGCACCAATGGCCAACAAAAATACAATGAAAACCGTTGATAGACCTTTAAGAGGTATCTTGAACAATTCGGAACCATTTGGCGGAAATGTTTTTATATTTGGAGGAGATTTTCATCAAGTACTACCCGTCGTCCAAAAATCAACATGACAACAAACAATTAACCAATGTTTGGTTAGGTCGTATCTTTGGGAAAAAATGAAAAGCTGCAACTAAATCAAAACATGCTTGTTCAGAATGACAGACAATTTGCATAATACTTAAGCCAAATTGGTAATAGAACAGAACCTTATATAAAGGATAACTTCATCAACTTACCAGACGAGATAGCTATAGCATGTGACGATGATGAAACTTTGAAATTACACTTGATCAATGCAGTGTTCCCGAATTTAATAGAAAATGCAGCTTCTTCTGATTATATGACACGTGGAATTCTTTCAATAAAAATGAGTATGTTAACTACCTCATTGATAAACTAATGGGGTTATTTCCTGGAGAAAGTGAAGAATTTGTTAACTTTGACGAAGCAATAGATGACACAAACCAATTTTATCAAAGAGTTCTTAAATACATTGTTGCCAATGGTATCTCACCTCATAAGTTAATCTTAAAAAAATTGTTCAATGATGCTTTTGAGAAATCTGAACCCATCCAACGTTCTTTGCAATGGAATAAGAATGATTCGTCGTGACTTCAATGAACCTATTATGCATGTAGAAATAATCGTTGGACAACATTCTAGAAAACAAATCTTCCTTCCACACATACCATTAACTCTACCAAATGATGAAGGATATCCATTCAAATTCAAGAGGCAACAATTTTCAGTACGTCTATGCTTTGCAATGACAATTAACAAGGCTCAAGGACAAACATTGCCTACTATTGGAATATATCTTCCTGAACATGTATTCTCTCATGGGCAACTATATGTTGCACTTCTTGCGGAGTTTCAATGCAAACAAAAAAAGTTTTAGTAAAATCAAAAGATAAAAGAAAGAAAAGATGTGTGATCTTAACAAAAAAAAAAAAAAAAATTGAGTACAAAGAAGTATTATTATATCATTGCATTTTAGCTTATTCAAAACTTTCACATTATATACATAATTTCATAAACACACACACACACACACACACACACACTCTCTCTCTCTCTCTCAATTGTAATTTTCCCTTTAACAATTTCAATTAACTCTATTATTTTAAAAAATGGCATTAATAAATCAAAAATAGATTGTATATCATTCATCAATACATAAGACGTGCAACGCACATGCTTACTAATCTCTAAAAGTAAAGAGTCACTTTAAAAAAAATTACACTCTTTTTAACCCATTTGACAAAAGTTACGGAGTGTAAAAGATAGATGGATCAATAGGAATTGGCCCGTTTCTATCAAGACAAAATTGAAATTTGCTACTGACTTGAAGCGGCTCGTATAAAAATATAGTTCAGGCTAACCCAAAGTATCAGGCCGAGTTAGCCCAACATGTTATCATAACTTTTTTGAGAAATTTACGTTCTTCATTCTTTGTTCTCAATCTATGCAAAATGTAATAGATCTACAATCAACCATTTCTGTAGCATAAGTTATCTCCATCTTTTCAATTCAACTATGCTGATGTTTGATTCTGATTTTTATCCAAAAAAATCAATTTTTTGACTGTTACTTAACATGGTCAGTCGTCATTTTTAACTTCTTCACTCACAGCTGGGACTAACTTTTTTTCTAACGATTAAAAAATCAATTCTCATAATTACTACAAATTTGTCCTCCTATTTAAATAACAAAAAATAAAGTAAACAACAAAGAATAATAAAAATGTGCAAAAAAAGAAGTTTGTAAAGTACAAATTTGATTGATCTAAAACAATTAAACTCTTGTTTGGTGGTGATTTTTCAAGTCAAAAAATTAATTTTTTGACTGTTACGTAACATAGTTGGTTTTTTTTGACATCTTCACTCACAGGTAGGACCCACATTTCAAGCTAACAATCAGAAATTAATTTTCAAAATCAGCACCAAAGAAACCCTAAATATTTAATTCTGGATTTTAAATATAAATTTGAGTTTTTAAGCACTTGTTTGAGCCACATTATATTCCTAAGAATATATTTTTGAATAGTATATAGATAGAAAATGTGTGGTTAAAAAATCGAGATTGACACATTTCCATATCTCATAATTGATCGGATCATATTGACGACGGGTATAGTTTCATGGTAAACGAGCAGGTTTGATTTTGTCATACCACGTGACATTTTCCGTCACACGTGTTGCCCTAATACATTGCTAGATGTCAATCTGGGACGACAAGCGTGAATTGGTGATAAATTAAAAGAGTGTTTGAATTTATCAGCTTTTGATTAGATCAAAATAATATTTTACGTCGTTAGGTATCGCAATTGGAAACCTGATGGGTCGTACACAAAAGAGAATTGGAAGATTGCAATTTGTCAATTAATTAATTTAACAATCGTTGGATAAATTAATTGGATTAATTAAGTTACGGACTGAATTTAATTAAATAGATTAATCAAATATTGGACCGGACCAGGCCGAGCCTGTTTGGGTTTATATAAATACATGGCTAGAGTTTTAAATCTATACAATTTTCATAATTCTTGCTAGTATAAGAGGAGAAACCCTAGCAGTTGCAATCTATTCTATGTGTGGAATTCATTGGAGGCTGGACAATTGGACAGCTGTGGTAGGTAGATCCAAGTTGCTGGAACAAAGATAACGCAAAGGAGTTTGCAAATTCAAGAAAAAATATAACTTTTATCACAGTTCCTATCTAAATACAAAGATGAATCCTGGTGGAAATTGAAAATGTTTTATTTTCGCTGCGTATGTTTAAGTAAATTCCCAACAGTTTTCCCAATACCAAGAAGACCAGCAAGTAATAAAGAACATTTACCCATCTTTTGGCATATGATTTCTGATAAGTGTATTTTATACACTTATGTAGACCTAAAAATATAGATATTTAATAGTTCTTTAAAGAAATTATAGCCTAATTTGTTGTATATTTCATTTATTAGGTGAAACTCGATGGTTGGAAGTTAAACCGAAAGAAAGAAATGAAAAACGACGAAAAATGGCGAAGTACAAAGTTTAGGACCAAATTGCAAATATCCAATGGTTGAATTGTACCATAAGAGATATTTTAAAGATTGATGAGAGTCAATTGGATGTAATTAGAAGTCAAAAAGGAATGAAATATCATCAAAATATTACCATAATTCTGACTTCCAATTACATGATATATTTTTCAGTTTTTTAGTCAATGATTGCAACCAATTTTTGGCATAGTAAATTTCTGAATTGGAAAATATCTATTTCTAAGAAAATTGTAGTCCTTTTAATTAGCTTTCCAATGCATTTTAAATCAACTCAATTTGATATCGGGAGACAAAGGTATGATTAAAATACTGACTATTGTGCAGAGACAAAAAATCCGCGCGAGAGTAACTTTCCTTATTCGATTAGAACTCTTTTGGAAACCAATTTGGACGTGATTTTTCACCAATATTTGACCACTACAGATACCAACAGGAGAATACACAAAGGGGGGCTCTCATACTTTTCTCTTATACACAATATACTCCAATATTCATCAATTATTATTATTAAAGGAGGAGAATTCATTGTTTTTATGAGAGAATTGAAGGAGACTTGCAAGAATTCAATCAAGTGAAGATTCAAATTTGGTATTGGACAAAGAAGAGAGAGCGCAAGTGAAGATTTATTAAGAAATCATTGAAGAGATTCAAGATTTCAAGATTTGTCTTCATCTTCTCAATTTATCAAAAATTCAGATTATGTCTTTCCATTTATATATGATTTCTTGTAATTTAAATATGTTAGGCTAATTTTTCATATTTGCTAGGATGTGATGAACCCTTATTATGAATTTTTAATTTAAATAATTTAATTGACGTTAATTTGTTTAATTGTTTTGATGTTTATTATCGTTTTCATGCTTTTCAATTAATTGGTCACTAGTTGAATTGTTTGTGGATTTTGTTGTTATCGAAAGAGACAATAGGATCATGAACACAAAATAATAAATAACGTGAGGTTCGATAGAGAATAGAGATATACATGTATGCTTCACATGATTTTTATGGATGTTTTAGCTCGTTTAATACATTTATCATGTTCGTATCTTTTATCGAGAGATAGAAAGATCGCATGAGGGGGAATAGATTTAAAGGCTATCGAAAGAGGTTTTCAATTGAAATAGGAACATTAAACAACAAACATGATTTCAAATTGTCAATTTAAATTGTTGAACTAAAATGGAGTAGTAAGAGGGATTCCACATCTTAGCAATACTTCTCACAAATTTGATAAATTTTTACTTGCAGCTTCTATATCAGTTGTAACAAACAGATTTTTATCATTTTGCTCTTTAAAACTATATCCAACCAAAATAGGATTCTCTTATAAAAAAAATTAGAAAAACAAGTAAAAAAAAAATGGAAAAAAAAAGACATTATTATTTTATGGATATATAAAGAATTAAATGCTTACCAGAAATAGAAAATTAGCTTTTGTCAGGCATGTGAAATTTGTAAACTTCAAAGGAAGTGTGTAAGGGGCCAATATGTTTGAAATTCCCAACTTGAACTGCAGAACTATCATGTTCATATCATATAATGTAAAATACAAATTTGCATGTAAACATTTGAAAATTTCACTCAATATGAAGTAAGAAAAACTCTGCTTTTATCATATAAAAAATAAAAATTTATCAATTTCAATAATTATTATTTTACAATGCAGTTTATACAATTTTTGAGATTTACGAGTCAACCCTGTATCCAAAGAATGATAGGCCATGGCTTGTTCGGATCTTCAAATTTGAGTGGAATTTTAAAGTACCAAAATCCTCATAGAAATGCTTGTTTGAATTGACAAGAATTGAGTTAAAGAACTCATTAATATCAGCAGTTGATGTTATTGATGAAGGTTTTATGTAAGTAAGGATTTGCAAAGTTGATTCCCATCTGTGAATGCAAAGAGGAAAAGATTTTCGAATCCAATGATACTGGCATTGGAGGACACAAACTTCCTAATGTTTTTTCTAGCTTTCAGTCAGGCTAAAGAAAAAAAAAAGGTGGAAATATAGGTAAACCATTTTGTATTTATACAGTAGTGAACCAATTTGTATTTACTACCAGTGTAATTAAATAATTATGACATTTCATTGAACAAAATTTATAATAATAACAAAGTTAGGTTGTCTTGGAAAAAGGAAAAATAGAACAAATGAAATTAGAAGAAATCATACTTTGAATTTGCGATTGAAACTTGAGACATTGATGAAATTCACCTCAATCTGAAGCATAAAAAAAAACAAATTTCACTTTTGTGTCATCGCAGTGTACTTTTATTGATGTATGAATGAAAGGACTTCCTTATATGCAACATTTTTAGTACATGTCAAGTGTGAATTTTCAGTGGCTGATGGATTAAGTAAAACTTTTAAAGACTTTCTTGTTTTAGCTTTCGACAATGCTGACCATGACAGAATACTGGTTTTGGAAGATATAAACCAACAAAATTAAGTGTTTGTCATTGTGCTTTGTTTATTGTCATTACAAAACATGGTCTAATAGAAAATTGAGTTCTTTTAAATGGAATCGATGTTTGATCACTTTGAAAAGGAATGAAAGGACTTCTTGGTAAAAAAAAATGTTTTCCATAGTACTCACCAGATATAATTTTAGCAAGAATTACATTTTTCTCAAATTTTCGACAAGTAAGACGTGTTCTGTTGCAAAGCCCTTTAGATGGATTGATATTTCGTAATAACATTACAGGACAATTTACTTTAAGGTTCAATTCATGAGACAGAATACCGTTTGAAGTTAAATTGTTTAGAAAATCTTCCTGTAAGCTTTGTTCAGATTTGTCAATTGCTTCATCAAAGCTATAGTACATATAGACTTGACTAGGAATTTGCTCTAATAAAATTTTATTAATATGATCAACACATTTATATCTAGGTGTAAGAATAATTCGATTTGTCATTGTATGTAAATCATCAGCATATGTTTTTATATTTGGAAACACATAATTTATTAGAGTTCTAAGAGATGAAATTTCATCTTCGTATGGTATGATGATAATTGTTTGGCAGCTTAATGCAATTACAACTATGTTCTTCCTCTGTTCCATTTCCAACTCTCAATAAATAATCATAAAAAGCAGGATCAAATTTCGCCCTCATATTTTCAACTAATGGTAGATGTACAAATAAAGGCCATAGGTAAGGAAAAACTAAGCTAGCTTTCATTATGTCTTCTTTTTTCCTTCTTGGCACTACTGGTAAAACTTGTCTAAAATCTCCTCTAAGAACTACTACTTTCCCACTGAAATGTAAATCAGAATCAGTAATATCTCTTAACATTTTATCCACAGCTTTAACAATACAACGATTTATCATTGGTGCTTTATCCCAAATTATTAACTTAGACATTTTCAACAAAGATCCTCAAGCTGATTGTTTACTAACAGAGCAACTGATTTTCCCAATTGTTTCCAAAAGAATTTTAAATTTTGAATGAGATGTTCGACCTCCATGTAGAGTGATGCAGTTACACCAGAAGACGCAATTGCTAAAGCAATCAAATCTTGAGATCTTACACCAGATAGTAAAGCTTTATACAAAAAAGTTTTACCCATACTACTAGGACCATTGACAAAAAAAAGTACCACTTGAGCCCAATCTTATTTTCTCCATAATTGCATTACATGCAAATTGTTGTTTGTTATTTAACATTGATGCACAAACATACCCTTCTTCAATATTCGAATTCATTATTTCTTCTACAACCATTCTTCTCAATTTTTCATTCTCATTTATATTTACACCAAACGGTTTTCATAGTCATTTACATTTTTACCTAATGATTCTAAAATAGAACTTATATCCTCTAAAGTTCATAACTCAGCAACTTCCAAAGGAGTATTTTCATGTACATAATCATCAATAATATGAAATTTGAATTTTTCCCACAAGAACTTTGGATCATTAGGGTTACAAAGTGTAAAAAGTGTAGCAAAAAGACGTCTTAAAGAAGTAGGCATTTCATAAACTTCAGATAAACATTTTTCACAATAAGTATCTCTACCTAAAAAATCATGTAAAAGTGCAGCTTCTCAATATGTGTTAACAGTTACTCCATTTTAAGTATGTAGATCATGAAATGATGTTGGACCTCAAATATGATTTAAAAGAATTCGGAGAAAATAGCGTTCTACTTCAAATGGATTTACTGTAACAATTTGTCCAACAACAGTATTCTTTTTTCTAGGAGTCCAGATTTTCTGATTTGTATTCTAAACAAAATGCCTCAAAAAATCTTGATACAAAAGTGTTCAAGCAAACTTATTTGTTTCATTCATTTGAAAAAATTCTATCAACATTATTTTCTTTGTACTTTCTTTCTCAATAATAGTATATAAATCATCTTGATCGTTGTATGTTACTTGATGATAATATTCAATATGAAGTTGTAAAGCATAAAAAGTAGTGTTACGCCCCTATCTGAACCGCCTCGGAATGCCCTCCACCACACATTCCGACCTGATATACACCCATTCAAAGTGTTTTCGAAGTGATCCCATCAATTTCAACGACCTGATAGCACACTGAGAGACATAAACGATTCTGCTGAACTGACCAAAGCGCCCTCGCCCGTGATGCCGAGGCGAAGTGCACCTCTGTCAGAAGATCCGCCGCTAATTTTAGAAAGAGATTTTTGCCAAGATCCTCTGTGCATCTAAGGTTTAAATTGATTTGACGTCTCCATGAGGCTAGTTGATGTGACTTATCAACTTTATGTCAACTCAACTCGGGAGAAACAAACTACCCGCCCACTCTACAGACGCAGCTGATTAACGCCTATGAGCGGACGCCTCATACCGTCAAATGCATACACGTGTCCCACATCTAACGATTCATCCCACCTATAAATACCCAAGGTTTGGTAAGAGGCAAAAGTAATGAAACTCTCACTACATAGCACTCCATAGCAAGTTTAAATATTTTCTCCTCCCCCTTATTATTATTTTGCACAATCTCTGGGTATTGTTCCGACCACCTAAACCTGACTTGACCATCGGAGTGTATACGGTCGCCACCACCCCCGCTGGTCTCGACCGTGTGCGTCTGATCGTGCGTTGATTGTACGTAAGGAGGAATACGTGGAGTAGCTATCGGTTGACCACGTGGAAGGTCTAATTTTCGAGGTCAACAAGTAGGATAAATTTTTGATAAAGTAAACAAAAAAAAATCTTTCACATAACTTTAGATGGAGATATCTATCTAGCAGATTGATAAGAAGAAATTTCTTCTATTTCTTGATTTGGTCCATTCGCATTGACTAAAAAATTAATACGATTATGTTCCTTGTACACATATTTGTATAAATATTTAACAGCTTTAATAGAAGAACAAACTTCAACATTAATATGATAGTCAAATTTCACACTTAAATAAGGATTATATGGTACAACCCAACGATTGTCTAGCATTTTACCTCTATCTTTAATAGAAAGATCAGTATTACGACATCTGTACAATGGGTATGAATTTTAACTGAATATAGTAGTATCACAATAATCTCTAGGATACTTGTTTTCAAAAAAATTATTTGCTTCCATACATACGTTTTTTGGATTAAGATTTCCACAAGGGTCATGCATAGTATGTTTAACAATAACAGAATGAAGATGAGTATATTTGTTTTCCTCGAAAATTTCACAAGATACTATCTGATCGACCTCTACAGCACAATTGATCTTATGTCCATTGTTGAAAATTAATAATAGGTGTGCATGAAGAAGACCTCGTTTCTGAAATTCAATAACGTATATGTGTGCAACAAAAGGGCCCAAGATGTTTTTTTTTAATAGATCATTTTTCAATTCTTTTAATTTTGCTTTAAATATACGAGCAATTAAATCAGGTTGATTTTAAACTTCATCATTATGTTTTAGTTCTTGTTTAATTTCTGGCCAATTTGGATTACATGTTATAATTCAAAATATATTTGATTTTTAGTAACGTTGAACAATAGTCATTGCATCCATATATCTTTTTAGCATATCTCTAGGCCCACACGTAAAAGATTGCGGTAAAATAAATTTTCTTTCTATTTTACACCCTCTTGTTTCTCCACTTTCAATACTATCTACAATATCTTGATAAAGTTCAGCGCGAATCTGTTTTTGATTATTTCGAAAGTAGTCTAACCTAGTAGTTTCAATATTCACATACATATCTACTACATATTGTTGGAACAATCTACCGACATGAAGTAGTATAGACTTACTGGAATCCCTAATCTGTAACTTTTCACATACATATCTACCACATATTGAGTACGCTTTTTTGTTTGATGCAGCACTGCATAAACAAAAATAAAAGTAAATACTTATTTAAGATGTTTATGTTAGAAAAAAAAAACTTATGAAATAGTAATTTTCAAACCTTGATTCTCTTTCTGAATGAATTCAATTACTAAACTACTGCTAACAAGACCATCAGATGTTGATGTATGTTCAAGTTGAGAGTACATTTCTGCATCTCCATATACCTTCATGCCAACCAGATTCTTTATATGGAAAGAGTAATGGATACTGAATGGATCATAACAACCATAATAGTAATGAACTCCATGTGAATCACCAGAATGAGCGTTTATAATAATGCCACGAACATGAATATTCACATTTTCATTATCTTTAACCCATATGGTAGCCATTTGAGATGCAGTAGGAGTATTAAAAACTCATTGGTCAATTCCTGGATCACACCATATTAGGATTTGATGATCATGCAAGTTAGTCATATTACTTAAAGCCCCTGTTTGGCCCCTATTAATTTTCATTCCATTGCATTTCATTTTTTTATCTCCCATTTTCAGCCACACAATCTTCCATAAAATAATATTACATGTAAATCAAAAACTTTTCCTTCTTTTTCAACCACTCATTCTTCAAAAAAATACTATTCCACCCATTAATTTTTTCGCGCAATGGGGGCCAAACAGGGGCTTAAAGACATGAAGAATTTACTATATGGATTTACTTCTTATAATTGCATATAAGAAGGCATATTTTTTTCTGGCATAAGTTGGTTCACATAATGATGTACTTGTCCTTGTACTCTAGTAAATACCTTTATATGTTTTGAAAAGTTCTTTGTCATACTTTTCCAAATGAAGTAAAAGCAAATTGGTTATTATATCTCCTTGAGATTTTTTAAATTCCATGCAACTAAGTTCTGTAGAAGTGAATAAATTAAACAACTTAGTTGGTGAATCGGACATAAAGAGCATAATTTTTCCACCAGAGCAACAAAATCCTTTACTTTCTCTATAGAATTTCTTTGTATAGAATTTCTTTGCATTACAATTTGTACAATAAATACATGGTGGTAATACATATGCGTTAGGTGGAATATGTGGTACGTTATTATTTTGTTGGAGTTAAAAGTCAGGAAGTTTATTTGTTTCATTCTTTGAAGTACAAAAGTCAGTTTGTTCATAAATTATGGGCTGATTAATCCAAGGAAAAGCAGAATGATTATTTTTCAGACAACGTAGGCTCATTTATCCTCTTACAACGATTAATACGAGAAGTTCGGATTTGACCTCGCCTATCCCCTTTTTTTTTTTTTTTTTTTTTTGTTCTTGTTATCGTATGGAAGCATTACTCAAGTTCTTTTGAGTTTCAGAAATAGTTTCAAAATGAATAGAAGCAGGGTCAACTTCAACAAATGATTCCGAAATTTCCATTACAGCAACAGGGAAAATAGCTGAATCTTTGGACTCCAAACAAATCAGTGTAAAAAGTGAAAAATATATTAGTGAATCTATCATATATATCTCAAACTATATGGTAGAGAAAATTAGATGAAAGAAAATGTTGAAAATAAATAAGATTGTTCGGAACACAAAAAAATAATAATAAAAAAAATTTATTGCACATTAACATTTCAAACAGCAAAAAATCATATTTACCAGTAAATTTACAGCATTAGAAGCTGGCCTGAAAGCAGTTGACAAACAATTCTATGTTGGTACAATTTAAGTAGACAACCTGAAAATAAAGAAAAATGTGAGAACTGTAAATAAAATTTAATGGAATTTTCAATTCTAAAAAAATTACACATCTATGCATTTAATTGGAAAATTAAAAATGTGGAGATAAAAAAAATATATATATATATTCAAATTAAAATAGTCATCATAGGTAAAAAAAATAAATAAATAAATAAAGAATGCTCCATTGGGAAACAATTGAATGATTAACTATAGTTGGTAATGGAAAATGCTCAATTTGAATAGGAAGCGAATTTAAAAGGCAATACAAATATAATGGAATTGTAGACTTGTTATAATAATGCATAATTCTATGCAAAAACCATTAAAAAAAAAAAGCTACTCCTAGAAGGTCTAGCAGTTTTGA